GTTACAAAGTAAACAATGAAGTATATGTATATTTTAGCTTGTTGGTTGGATAAAATAAAAACGGTATATGGACTGTTTAATTTGAAATAACTCAGATCAAGCTCGTTTAAGATATAACCGGAAAGCACACGCGATCTGAAAATATTACAGGGACTTCAAAAAACTAGTCTCGGTAGATCAACGGGAACACATTGACTCCACAGCTCATGAAGGAATCTGTCATATTTTAAATATTTGTACATTATAGTTAATATGCATATAAATACTAATATGTCTGTAATTCTTCTGTACAGATGAAATCAACACCATTCATTCAACGGCAGTCGAGGAATGAACGCTTCAGAATTAGCAATTCTATTATGAAGGATACTTATTCAACAAATATGTAGTTATCATCAAGATTTATAAAATCGTTACAGTCTTTGTTGGAACGTCAACCTTATACGTATAATGAGCACATCATGATATACCTGGTTACTCAATGACATCTGCAAATATTTATACTCCTTGTTGAGAGTTAGGCAATAGCATCGACTAATACGTATTTAATATATTTGTATTTGTATGTCCCACTTTTGGTGCTAATTTTGTGTGTGTTTATAAATTATATCTACTTGGCTAACTATGCAGCCTTCGTGCTGAAGCACATTTTAATGGAGAGTGTCATTGAAGCTGATCATTTTTGTAGTTGCCACTTACTCCAACATAGAGGTAGAAGAATATGAATAATAAAGCCTTACTTTTCACATTATATCAGTTTAGGAATAAATTGATAATTGGAACAGATTCTGGATTGTCATCATCACATGAAAAGGTATTTGGACAAAAATATATATTCTATAATACCGAAAACAATTTTAAGGATACTCTAAACATTTTCAATGAAATTCAATGATAACAAGATCATGCGTACAAAAATTCAAAGCAAAGCCGATTGAGTGAGCGCACAGCTACTGAAATGTAGGGGTAACCTATTTGACGCTGATTTTACTTCTCACCCCAATTAGAGAGGAAAGGTATAATTTTGGGGTCAAAACATTTGAAAAAAATAGATCATACAGCAATGATCGAAAAGCTTTGCAGGTAATTGCTTCGGTCGAGTTCCTACAGAGACCTATTCCAGAGCAGTTTAGAACTCTCACTAGTCAATGGAAATATGGCTTTGTAATCACGAGAATATATTGCGCAGGACCAGGACGGTTATGGGATAGTGCGTTCAAGAATCCTCATAAGGATTTTGAAAACTCATCCAGTCTCGATGGAGTTATAAGTGAAAAGTAGGAAATTTCAAATGTTACCAAACTTCCTGTTCGGATTTTTTTGGTTTTTCTGATCAGTTAAAAAAAATGTTCACTATCGCTTTTTGACGTTTTCAACTTTCCGGTCAAATAAGGGTGTAGTAAACAAATTTTAAGGAGTTCATTTCGATTATCAACAAACAGTGCTTAGAGGATGTTCATGTAACTAAAATGTTAAACAGATTTACGAGTAGGTATATCACTGTCAAACGGGTCAAGTTACTTGATTCTATTTTTAAAGAAATTAAATAGCACTAGCATAATTAATTGTTATTCTTATTCGCTTAAGAATGTGCATTGAAAAAATATACTGTATGACCCTCCTTTTAGGCAGTTGGACTAGATCGAAGCATTTGTAATTGATATAACCTAATCGCATCAAATTTTTCTTGTTTCATTTTATCGTATACTTTATCTAATTTCCCTGACATGAGAGGAAAATCCAGAGAATTCCTCAGACACCATCATTGTCTGAATCTTCGCAAAATTATGTAGTACTCCAAACGTGCAACATAAGTCAGTCTTGAAAAGTAGATAAGGAAAATTCACTCTACAGATATTTGCAATGCAATGTACTGGATATTGCAATTAGTAGTGGTAGTAAAATTGTAATTGACACAAATATGGTAAAGTCATTAAGCTAATGGTAATACATACATAGTCCCAGATGTCAACTTCAAAAGTGGCCTTTTATACAGAAGAAAATAAAGAAAGTATCTTTAACCCTTTCAATACGACTTTTGAAAAAGAAGAACGTAATTTTACGGTTTGGACAGATGGGTCCCAGCAAAAATGGGCATACAAAATACGACTTTCATTTTTTTTTAATGTACGTGCAAAATATCTTTTCTACATAACAAATATCAATGGATGAAATAAGTGAAAACAATTTTTTTCTTTATTAAGTGATAAAAAGGAATACAAAATGGGACACATTTGTCCCAACTGTACGGAAAAAATGGATACAAATGTCCCACCCGTAGCAAAAATACTTCTGGGAATTAATTTAAAAAAAAACTCAGGTTCAAATCATTTATGACTAATATCTGCATGTAGAATACGTGTAACATGCGCGGTAGGCACTCGTCGAAGGAATAAATTAAGATCCACTAGTACTCCGGTCAATATTAGAGTTCTTACTGATTGGGTTAGGCTCTACCTCTCTCACAAGCAAAGAGGAGTAACAAGTGCATTTGCTTACAAATTGCAGAATAATGCTACAACCTGACTTCAAAATATAATTTCCTGTTAATACTATCTAAGACAAAACCCACCTTGCGACTGGGATAACGCATAATACGTTTTAAATTGGCATAGCACCCAATAGTATTTAAAAACATCGGTATGGTGCATATAGGTAGATACAGTAATCTGAATGTATTTACTGTTATTAATAATGCGTAATCAGATTAAGGAATTTTTGCTGGGATTTATAGAATCCGTTAGTATCGAAAGGGTTAAGTGAATGTCACTTTCTTTGAGGTCATGAGAGCTTTCATTTACGGCTTCTGGTTCCAAATCTTTGACATATTTTTGTAACCAGTAGAGACTTATATGCTGTTTGTTATGTGCTTGTATAGCTAACAAGAACGGACTTTATAAAACGTTACTACCGATGTCAGTAGCTCCAATTCTTGAAAACGAGAGGGTACTATAACCGATACATAGGCCGATTCACCTTTTTGGCGTCTCACAGTAAAACGGCCGGTATTTCCCTTATAGGTGTACTCACGCAACCTACGTTGGATTGTGGGTTCACAGACATACGTTTTTTAGTTTTGCCCTGCCGCCTCGAAAATGCTCTCGTTACCTATAAGTATTCAACAACTATGTCACTGTCAGTATGATAAATTACTTTCGACGGACGTGTGATTTGAGCTGTACTCTTTGATATAAAATATAGCATTGTCTGTAAATACAACTAGTGGGCAGTGTGCTAATTTGAGTTTCTCAAGAAACTGAATGAAAACAACAGTCCACTTCATGAGTGAGAGAGCGCATAGAAACTGCGATATAGATAGATTTGCGCAATTTCATCACTTTTTCTGGCAGCTCTTGACGTGTGTTTTGACGTTTATGAAATAAGTGAACGCATTCATTTTCGCCAAAGTAATGAGTTCCTAGTTATTCTTATCATTGAACGTTATATGAAAAAGTCTGTAGAGATGAAACTGATGGACGACGACGGAGTCGTTTTTTGGATGACCCGAGAAACGACTTTTCTCTCTCTTCTATTCGTGTTCAAGAAGACGCATGTAAAAGAAAGAGGTCTACTTTCTTTCAGTTGTTATGCTCCATCATTTTCAAGAATTCGTCTATGTATGTATTTATACGTTAACTGTTGACGTGTCTATTTATACGTTAACTGTTGACATTATTAGCATCTATTCATCGACATCATTTGAATAGTTTAAATTAAAAAAAAATGTGCCATATAACATGAACATGACTAAACCCTAAATGGTTTAGAATATTTGCTGCTCCTGAAACGTTCCCGTGACTACCAGCATTTACAGCGTTCTCATGTAAAATTGAAGTGAAACGACGACTTAACTGTGTTTACCAACTGAATTAATTCAGGATGTTGGAAAATCCTGCTGAAGATTCACTTCCAAATCCAATTAGCTGTACAAATTTTATGCACTCGACGAGATATAAAGCTAGAAGTTTTATGACCAAGCCTTATGCACGTACCGTGTTTCTACATTTTAGCCAGTTTTTAAACAAAAATTTTAATCCAATATGGCTGCCATTGCAATTACTTTCATAATCTGTTTAGCTCACCAGCATCGGTTCGTACACGGTGTTCAATATTTTTTATGCTGGAAAAAGTTCTTTATGACGTTATTCATGCAATTTCTCATTTGTATCAGAAAAGTGCTATCGAAGAAAGTTAATTTTAAATGAAACACACCGAAATTTTTATTGAAATTGATAGGAACTTCTTTTCTGATTCTAAATATATTTTATTATACTAATGTTTATTATTATAGCAAAAAATTTTTATTTTATGTGTCAGTTAATTCAACACATTCAGGCTTAGACTAGATTGTATAGGAGGCTAAAAGCAAACTGATATGTACTCGGATATACATCAATAAATGACAAACAAAACTTTAATGTTTGGCTGGATGAATAAAAATAAGTATAAAAAAGACCATATTATCTAAATAATTAGAATCAGAAAAAATATGCAAGCTGTTCCATATATACAACTTTATTCGTTAGGCCTTTTTTAAGTCAACTTACAGAAAATACATTGCAAAAAAAACGTTATATTAAGCACTATTAATTTTGTAAAAACCAACGTAATCAATGAGAAAAACTACCTTCGGCGTTGATGACAAAAACTGATGTTTCAGAAACAAATCATTTATAGTATATTAAGTTCTTATCTAGGCCCAGTCAAACCAAATATCAGGGCACGAAGTTCAAAATGCCTCGCTCCCATTGGTCAGCGGAACATGTCCAGTGAACGAGATTTGAATAGTACAAAGAAAAAATGATCCCGTAAACCCTGACGAGTTCGAAACACCTTGAATGGTAGCTCGACGGTACTCCTAACTTTATAGATGACGAATTGTGATTAATTGATCCATATAGTACTACTCCGTGGATATTGACTCCCCTCCAAAGTTCTCGTTAGTAATCCTGAACCGTAGCGTTATATAAAGTAGTAAGTAACATTACCGATATGCGTACCTTTATTTCTGGACGATAGCGAACTTGATTATTAGGTAGCGTACCTGAAACAAAAAAATAAAACGTTTTAGCATATTTTCAACAAATATGCGAATAATTATTTATGCGCAGGTATATATTGAACCAGATTTTATGTAAAAAAAGTATACAGTTAAGGTAGCTTAAGATAGAATTCAAATTTCGAGTAACACTAAATGAGCTATTTATATTTTTCAAGCTTTGGACCGATTCGTGAGGCTAGTGACTTGGTATTGACACGTCAAATATGTCACTGTCAGACTGTGAACCATTGAAATTTTTGATAAAGTATATTAAGCAGTACGCACGTACGTTGTCCGTTCTCCCTCTCAACACTTTTTTATACATGTTTAAATTTGGATTAAGTGACAGTGAGATTGTACGGGCCTGCGACATTTATTTTCTGCTACCAATGGTTGTGTTATCTTTTTACATACCTATGTATATCAAAATACAGCACGGCGAGATTTATTTTTATTGAAGACATTCATATTTTAGAACTTTTTAACAATATTCATGAGAAAATGAAAATCTTTGAATGTAAAACTCAATTTTTATTTTATCCAGATTACCAAGAGTAGTAGTTAAAATAATCCTGAACAGACTAACTAAAGCAAACAATCTTAACGTATCTTTTTCTACTCCATTCAAAAATCCCGTTCAATCTGTTTCTCGTACGTTCTCTCTCCGGTTCACCTCTCTTCAACATCCAGCAGTAGTTTGCTGTAATGTTTGTGTCCCGACTTCCTTGGTATCTGCTGTCTAAACTTTAATAGCTTGATGGAATCGCTCACCGTGTTCTTCACGTACCTTAACCAAGATTTTCAGGAAAAAAGTCAATATGAGAATGCAGAAAATGTAACTTTGTACTCATATTGGAACCCCGTTCACGAAAATTGCTAAGCAATCAGTCACTTTCGTAATATCTTGCATTAAGTTCCTTTGACAGGGCCAACAAACACGATATCTCTTATCTTTGCTTACAATGATCTATTTGGTCGGATTTTTGATGCGGATGAAACAGAAATGGCTTCTTAAATTTTCCAACAATATTGACGCGACTTTATCCCTAACGGACCAATTTCCAGACCACAGCTCCGTTTTTCTTTCTCGGTTTCAACTATTAACAGACGGTAATGCTAGGGAAAATAGAATAAGGGATTTCTCAAAAATATAGGTGATGATTTTTTTATTATTTTTTTTAGTAGCTCAGTACCTAATATCCAGTTACAGTACTGACAGGTTTTTGAAGAGGGAAGCCATCCCATCTCAGAACTATCTTATCTGTATCAGTGCAATGCCACTAGTCTCCCGAGTCTCCTGTGCTTGTCCCGGAACGCCACCGTCAAATCCATGATCATTCGAACCTTCCTTATACGATAATCAAAAAATAAATTGTATATAATTACATAAATGATATAACTTCAATGTTGTTCGGTCATGATTAAAGAAAATTAATCGCGGAGATGAAGATTCTAAAACACCAAAACATCGCTACCGCCTCAACAAAGTGGTTTTAAATAAAGGCTACCCATGCTGACAGCATTTCTAAATGGGAATACAACAAACGACTAGAAACACATGGAAAATTGATATTATAGCATGGACTAAATGCTATAATTTGGACATTGGCGTATAATTTGAGCAATTGTATGTTCTGAATCAAATCCATTTCATTTTATTTGAAATTGTATGTTCAAGCATTTTACCAAAACAGTAGTCTCTGAACAAAAAATGAGCTGATACCTCGGCATCACATGGAACTCCCACACAAAACCCAATACACATAGAGCAAATAATGTTATAAAGCTAAACATAAATAAAAAGGAGCTGTGGTCGTCTGGATCACAACCATTCAAAAATTAATGCTAGTACAGCATTCTATGTAAACAGAAAGCATACTGTGTTACACATTCATACACCTAGTTCCAACAAGAAATGTCTTACTTGTAGTGGCTGGGACAGTCAAATGCAATCGTTCAATCAAACGAATGATATACTAATGAAAGCATTAACGTATTTTATCAGAAGAAGGCCGACCTAAAGCTATATCCCGCGTTAAAAAAATTGTACGTTATAAACTGACATACCGCAGTGTCATATATGAGAATGTATACTTTGAAAAAATTAGTGTCTCATAGACGCTGTCTTTATGAGCATATACAAGGATATAGGTGGCTACAGCGCAATATATGATACATGTCATTTACCTATATTTCGTAAATAGAGAAACAGCTGGAACAAATTCTCATATATGACGCTACAGTATCTCATTTAAACCAAATTTTTGGACGTGGGATTATAGCATTAGGTTAGCTATCTTCAGGTAGAATACGTTAGTTAATGATTAATGATATATTACCTGGCTGCGTGCTTCACTGGTCCATTGTAAACGACTGTTCGGCACTGTTAGAAACTTTATTTAAATTTCTACGTTAGGAAATCTTACATCGTTCTAGAATTCATTATGCTCCGTTAGGCATTACCTTAAAATTATATGTTAGCTCAATAAAACTATTTCAATAAAGTTGACTGCCTACGAAACTACGTAATCTAGTATGCGTCATTATCTGCAATAGAAAAACAAGTGTATTATGACAGGCCACGATATGCAAACATATGATTATAATAAAACCTCCTATGTAGTCTTCATATTCAGCCATTTTATGAGATCGCATCTGTAAATGGCGGCTAATTATAGCTCGGCAAGGTCATTGGCTTATTTTTTCAGCCTGCACAACTATTTGCTTATTATCTGACAATGTAGGTCGCTGACGATGGAATTCCATATCTGTCGCAGAGCTACGAAAATAGTGAGCCAGCCATATATCACCCAGACGTCTGGACAACTGCTAGTTATTTTAAAAGTGTTTATAAACTTTCCCTGGAACTCATATACAAATTGATAGATACATTCGAGTTCAACGGTTTAAAATGTAAACACTGCTGGTGTTTACATAAGAAGTAATTTTTCTTGGATCTCAACATGTTGACAGATTGGCGGGGATGAATTTTCCGTTGCCTGCTTACACTTGGAAAACTTTTTTATAGCTTGTAGTCAGGCGTAAATATTTTACGATGATGTAAATACATGTTGGAATTTGAATAAATCTTTTTATGAAGCGTACATGAGAAGTCTGGTTCGGCCGAATCATATTTCCATGTGTATATCTCACCAGAGGCTATCAGAGTTTGAGCAGTTTTTCAGAAACTGATTTATGTAATAAATGGTAGATGCCTACTGAAAAACTAAGTAGTAGCTTGAGGTGACTACTACTACTACCACCAACGAGTTCTTGACCGAAGCTAATAAGGGCCCACACGTTGGTAACAAATCCTTCTCTTTGCTTTCCGATCTCTATCTCTAGGACAAGACCTATACCGTACTGATGATTACTGACAAGCATAGACCGATTACCGTATGTTATCGACACCTCCGCCTATGACGAGGTAATAAATATTAATTCTAATCATCAGTGTCTAGAGATACAGAAGGGTGAGAGTCTCTGGCATAAGTAGGCAAGACATTCTGAGGCGCGCCCTAATATGGAATACGTCATATATAAACTCGGTGTCCTTTTTTATTGGTATCTCCAATAACTTGAATTATTCACGTCCTTTTCAGTCTATAACATCAGAAGTGGGATATAATTCACTCGCCCTACCGACCTGAGTGAGTTTTTTTTTTGTTGTATCGAAACGTACCCTTAAGAAAATTAATCGGTATTTTCGGAGTGACCTAGTGACTTCAGTCGTTTGAAAACTCGTTACTAAGTGCCCCTTTCCGGGGAGGGAGGCTATGAGACTAAAAACGAGTTTTGTTTCAAGAAAATATCTTAGAATGATATCGCATATTGCAACATATTCATTCACACTATGGGAGAACCGAGGCACTAGGAGTGATTCAAAACGGACTACGACTGTGTTTATGGTGTTGTGACAGAAGCGCTGGCGGATACGTGATACATTGTTGTTTGATGAACTGACTGAGATTTTCGGAGGATGCAGATCTATTGACAACATTACCGAAGGTCATATTTTGTCTTAGGGACAACCCAGCAATTCCACAAACAACTCCACTATGTAATGTAATCTTCTTTTCGGCGAAGTTTCGACAAATCGCCATCTAAGCATTCATGAGTTAGTGTTCCCCTGATTGACAAGTTGGTTGACTACGCTTTTCTGTTCGTCAAGCGGGACTATCTTTCAGAGGTGTAGGGCTACTGCATTAACGACTTATTGGTCCAATTTATGAACTTAGCCGAACTACTCGTCGCGTCGGTGGTAGTAATCTCCTCCTGGACTAATACAACTGCATGTTCATTGACAACGTAATCTAACTCATTTTTCGGTTATGTTTTATTTGTGACTGATCGTCATGTTCTTTTGCCTGTTTTTGGATATGCTCTTGCACTATAAAATACATCTTCGTTGAAGAAATGGACAGAATTGGAATGTCGTTCGGGTTCAGTCAAAATAAACAATACAAGGACCTATAGTGAATTATTTCTTTTGCGTATAGTATTCTGCTCATGTCAAAAATTTGTTCGCAACAGTTTCATGACACGTATGAAAACAAACCCGAAGAAGCCATTTGTTCAACCATCATAGTAGGCTGTGTGAACAACCTGCTACTAACATTCGCATACTATAACGTAAAAGTAAACGGAAGCGTGCTTTTAAATCGGTTCAGCAGAAAATGCTTGCACACACTTACAATACGGGGTCAATGTCTTCATGGTTCAGGATCAAAGTCATTGATGGTAAGTAGGGCGAGCTGTTGCGTTTCAGCGCTGGTGCCCAGCAGCAAGGGAAAGGAGGCTGATAGGGCGCGAATACTATGTGGAACGAGGGTGTCAGGGTGAATGTACCTGAACAGTACGCTGCGCTGCACACCACGTGGGTGGAAAATGCAATTACCCTGTACAGGGCCAGTAAGTCTAGTGGTCGACTGCTTTTAGCGGTAGTCCTGCCGGTAAAGAGAGTTTACTTGAATGGGGGCTTTATACGTTTTTGTTGCCTAGTTAAGCAGTCTTACTTTATAGTCACATAGAACCACGACTAAACGGTTCGTTACAACACTGTCTAAAAACTCTCACCGGGACGTGGCAAGCAGTGTTTGGCTAAAGGATGCTGGCGGCGATGATATCGACATAGCTCTAAAGGTACATAATACTATCGCTGATCATTGCGAATCAATAAATGTCAGAAGGTTACAAATGTTACCTACACCTCCGCCGATGATGAGGTAATAAATTTGAACGATTATGATTAGGGTATTTGGGGATGCATCGAAGGCGCATCTATTTTTGTTTATGTTATGTCAAGTGGTTAGAGAGGTGGAAGGAGAGAACCTGGCAATACCGCGCCCTAACTCTGGAAAGATGCTTACCAAGTCCGCGTATATTTATTATTGGTACTTCCTACAAGTTGAATTATTTGCGTATACTAAGTGACATATAAATCCGAACACACAGTTTAAATGGTTTTATTTTAATAAAATTTTGTATAAGTACTTAATGAAGCATAATAAGTAAATAATAAAAATTTCAAAATGATTGCACTGCTTTAAAGCCCTTTGACCTTTAATAATGTGTGGATGCACCCTGATGTGCTACGCATTCTCCAACGCGCCTAGGCATGCTTTTAATCAGGTGGCCAATGTCCTCCTGTGGTATCTCATTCCAGGCAACCACCAACTCCTCTCGAAGTGCTTCTAGAGTCTGAGGAGGACGTTGCAAATTGAGCAATCTCCTACCCATCATATCCCACATGTGCTCAATTGAGGATAAGTCGGGAGATCTTGGTGGCCATGGTAACAATGTGACATCATTATGTTGAAAGAAGTCTATTGTGACTCTTGCAACATGTGGTCGGGTATTATCTTGTTGGAAGGTTGGATCTGCCAGGGTGTCAAGATAGTGTAAAAGATGGGGTTCTAGAACTTCGTGGATATAACGCTGCGCGTTCATGTTACCTTTGATGAAGATTAAAGGTGACCTGCAACCATAAGCTATAGCACCCCAAACCATAACTCCAACAGTGTGATGAACATGTCTTTCAACAAAAAACTGTGGATTCCTCCTTTCACCACGTCGCCTTCTAACCCTGGCACGACCATCGTGCATGCCTAAACAAAATCTAGACTCGTCACTAAAGACAATACTGTTCCATTCCTGATCCCAGAGTGACCGTTGTCTGCACCACTCAAGGCGATTACGTCGGTGTTCTCGAGTTAAAGGGAGGACCCAGTGTGGCCGGTATGAAAACAAGCCAAAACTTCTCATTCGTCGGTAAACACTTCGCATGCCAATAGGTCTTCCGTGTTCTGCAAACCATTCATTTGCAATGGACCTGGTAGTGGAGAAACGGTCCCTTAAGGCCAATAATCTTAGGCGGCGATCTTCACGGTCTGTTGTTCTACGGCGGCGTCCAGTGCCCCTTGCTCTTTGCGTACCGCCTTCTCGAAGCCATGCCTGACAACACCTAACCACAGTGTCTACACTTCTTTGCACTCTAACTGCAATTGCCCGAAAAGAAAGTCCAGCTTCCCGAAGTCCCACTATACGGTTCCTATCAAACTCACTAAGTTGACGAAATTGTACAGGTCTCCGTACTCTAGGCATCGTAACCGATCGTAAAGGATGTCAAGAACCAAAATCGGCCAACGTTGATTCTTTACTGCGGCTGAAATATTCATTTTTAGAGCGTTAGTGAATTAAAAAAAAGCAGTATAAAAACCGGAATGTCCAACTGATAAGACTGAAAATTTTTTCACTTGTTATTTACAGTAAGATAAATACATTCACCAACTTTTACTGAAATAAAACCATTTAAACTGGGTGTTCGGATTTATATGTCACTTAGTATATTTTTCGATCTATTATATAAATGAGTCTAAAATGTACAGAGTGTTCAAGACAAGCATAAGATAGTGGTAGCACCTTGGGTATGGTTAGATAGGCGTTGATCAAAAGGTAATGAAGTTGTGACATTTCTATGTCCTTTACATGAATTTTACTACAAAATTGTGGTATTGTGTCGAGATATTCTAAATAATGTTTTTAGTTTTAAAATATATTCATTTTTTGAGGCTAAAAAAAGATGTTGCACAATTCTTCCATTCTGTGTTTCCATTTTATTCGATTCTTCCTCTTCTTCATCTTTATATAGGTTTTTGTCTCATTTCATCCATAACTTTGAATAATTCAGAAGCATGAAAAACAACTTATTTTCAACTAACCAGAAAATGGAAAAATGTATCTAAATTCTACAAGCTTTTATGTAGAAGACAACTTGTACATACAACTTTTTCCCGATATAGTGCTATGATATTCTTATCTGCGCCATCCTGTACAGTTTTGTGACTTGTGATTATAATTCTCTCAACAAAAAAGTGAAAATTCCGAAAAGGGCGTTTTCCTTTTAAGCTATGACAATATAAGAAGATTGTTTGCTCCCTATACCAAAAGATAAAAAAGTACATATTAAGTAAAGTAATGGAATTTAAAGGCTTCAAGGAAATAAACAAGGCGGGAAATGGTCCTTGAGTGCAACTTATTGAAATAATTTGCTGTGAACACTTTCATCTACTCTCTCTGGAAAATGTGAAAATAATATAAAAAACCCCTTTTTACCTGTTTCATCATCAACTTGACAAAAAACGGGAGGGTAAGAAGTACTTAAATAGAGTAACCATAAAAAGTGAGCAACTAACTCTACAGCCGCTCCTATCATTGAGTCATCAAATTAGAACGTGCCTCGTGTTCCCTTTCACTTCGCAAACCAATTGGCGAGGAAGTATTGTACTCGTGAAGAATTTAAAAATAAAATATGATGTCTCATCGATGTTACACAAGTTGTAGAGAACGAAAAACGATGTTACTCAGTAGGATTTTTAAGAAATCATGACACAATATTACTGCTAGGTCAAGGAAGAAACAAAAAAACTAAAATCGCCCAAACTCCGGTTCCGACGATTCAGAAAATCCTCCTAAAGTTCAGACTTTTTTGGAAGGGATGAAAATCGGGAGTTGGCTGCCATGCACGGACATGCTCATTGCTGCAATCAAAGATTTACATGAAAATCCCATTCAGAGCATTAGTGTCAAAACATATTTATTTGTTGCCACCATGTAAAGATGAAATTGCACTGCATTAAAAATAGTACCAGAAGTACAATAGTCAACTTACTTGACCATTTATTTAATCAGGTACACGAGAACATACGAAAGCAGGTGTTTGGAAATGAAAGAGTCAACGCAATACTGGCTTTTTGAAATAGTTATTCACAAAAGCTCACATCCAATACAAGCGCATTTATTTGAAGACCGCGTTGATGGCCCGCTTTAAAAAAGCGACGCTAATTTCTATAATAAAATAAGCATTCTCTCAATAAAATAATGTCGATTACTAATTTTATTAAAAAAATTACCTGTTTTCAAAGTTCGAAACATTCCAAAATATAATCATCTAAAAAGTACAGGTTCCTTTTTCCTATATACATATAATCTGCAATTTTACAACAGTGGCAGGATAAGAAGTACCTAAATAAAGGTAGCAATAAAAAGTGAGCAACCAACCATCCAAGCTGGCGCCCCTTACAGTGAGTCAGCAAAATTAGGACCTGCCACGTTTTTCCTATTAAATCAGGTACACGAATATATAACGCTCAATTAAATTATATGGAAGACGAGGTGCGGCCATACTACAGTGCCACGGCATCAGCACTACGAAGGGTGCAGCCCCATGTGCAAACCCCATTAAAAGCCGACCGCAACTTTACAACACTATACGTATACTGAAGGAGGGCGTGTACTAACTACCAACATATGGACCCTTAATGTAACCTTGGCATATGAAGGACAAGCGCCCCTCTTTGTTTCGCTGTAGCACCCCAATTGACAAGCTTGATCCCCTTAAGTGCTGTTTCAAAATTATTGAAGGTGCTTTAGTGTTATAACCAGCATCTCGTGTAGCAAATACTTCAGGTCTATTGTTTTGAAGTTTAACCTTACCAAATTCATCTGTTTTTTATCTGAAAGATGATTGTCAACTGAGCCGATAATCACATTTTTCGGACACATTATATTTTTTTGGGTTACGTTATTCAAACAAATGCACTGTTTAGTGTTTTTTGATTATCCGCGTTGCTATGCATCAAACTCTAAAAAATTAAAAAAGAGACTAATATTCATGATTTTGATACAATAAGATTTTCTATAGTTATACCAACAAGAAAGTTGCATAGTTGAAAAGTAAAAATTATAATTGATAATTCATTTAATCGAAATCAATTCATTTCAGCCATTTACCTGAAAGATAGTTCCAGTCACATTATTTTAACATGGGCTTTCTAGGATGTGTTTTATTTATATACGTGGGCCAGCTATCAACTTAAGGCGTGCTGAGAACAACGGCAAAACCGATGAGTTGAAAAAGCTTTCATTGAAGAATGTCTCAATAACAGCAATTAGTAAACAAGAGTATTGTAAGTGAAAAACATTCTACGAATTTTTTTTTCCTTATATTCCCACCTTTGTATTAAGACTGATATTTGACCTCCATGGTTTACTGGTCACCAAAGGAAACCGTAGGTGAAAATGTAAAAGTTTACCGACATTTCAGTCACCTCGGTGACTTTTTTCAAAGTACAAAGCAATGGAGCGCTGATTTGCTAAATAGCAGTGGCCGCGGAATAACTCATTTGACAGCAGTGTTTTTACTTGGCTGCCAGATTTCATACTTTGTTGACCAAATATTGCGAATTGTCAAATCTATTCTATGGCTACTGCTATTCAGCACTGCTGCACCGTTGTGCCGCTTTGTCGTATAGCCGCTTTACATAATCAAATAAATTCATGAATAAGTTGTCAGAAAAATTTATGAATTTCTTCATGGTAACAGGTAACCAAATTAATTCATGTTTAAATTGTCATAAAAATTAATGAATTTATTCAAGGTAACAGGTAATCAAATTACATGGTCTTTATTCAAGTCAAGCATACCAACGCATAAAGTAGCTTCCTATAATACCAACCTTAGGGAAGAATAACAAAACAACTTAGCAATAAAAAGTATACTTACTTATTAGATCCTAAATTAAAGCCAATGCGTCAAGCCAAGGTGTAAGGATTATAATTTTAATTTCAAATCAAAAAACGTAAGCGCGTCAAATAACGAGCGGTGGTATCCAGGAAAAAGAACCAAATGTAACTAGAATTCCCCAAAAAATGACGCAAAACTAAAACAAGTTTAATTTTACACACTCCAACTTCTTCAAGGTTAAAAAATTGCAGCTATTGGCTGAATGAATACATTCCACATATCTTATCTGTTTTCCAGGTAACAGTTAATTTCTTTTTACCGCTATTATACAGGGTGTTCCAATAACAGTCCGAACGGTACTGAATTCCTCCAGGCCGCATGAAGCCATCACTGAAACATTAAAATGGCGCCGCGCAAACTCCAGGCCCAGGCCCGCGCGGGGCAGGCATTCCCGCTCCTGCTGGGTTTATGCGGTAAAATCAAATTATGTCTCTCCATTAAAGGAGTTGTACTTTCAGAACTGATATGTATTGACGGACAAAATGCCAATGAAGTTTTTCGATTACCTTCTGCGGCAGGTTCATTTTTTCATCCACGTCGATATCGGCACGACGGCCCTCTCTTGCAGTAGGAGTTCTTGAAGAAGGAACATTCCACACTCTTTCCAGGAGGTAGCCGTATAGGATTGTGACAACATACCAGAAATCGAATGCCTGTATACCGGAAGACTACCTCAAGCATGCGTCGAATGATTCTCCAGTCCAGGTTGTCCAGTCCACATGCCAGCTTAGGTATTGCCAGTTTTCTCAGGTACTCGGCAAGCAAGACTTCTCTAAGCGAACACAAAGCGTTCCGAACATTTTCGTAATTCGGTTTCTGATACGAAGCTTTCTTGGTAACTAGGTAGAAGATCTTTCGATTGGTACCTTCTTCAGTTAGCTGGAGTACTTGTCCGACTTCCGGGTACGATTGTCGCAGCTCGTGCACTCTTCCAAACTACCTAAGAAAGGTCTTTGCTATACCTCTCGACATCTCGCAAATCTTGAGCCACACATTGTGCCAGGGCATACTCCGGTGAAGTAGTAAACAGATCTTGCTGTACGTCACATGTCACGCCATACCGACTCTTATGGCCATTAGCATGGTGAGCCATAAATTGGTCAAATGACATGTCCGGTTCTGGTTGGATTTGCCGCACCGCCGCATCTTTGTTGTTTCCATGATAAAGTGCAAGGCGGTTGAAATGTACCATTCGAGCTTTACTGCGTGGTGCCTTTTGAATCCTGTAGAGAACATCGCTGATGGCCTCCAGAACTTTATATGGCCCGTCCCAGGATGATAGAAGTTTAGGCGACAGCCCTTTTCACCTCTTTGAGTCGTAAAGCCAAACCGTATCATGGTTGTCATACCTCTGGTCTTTGGCATTAATGTCTTAAGCTTCCTTCATCCGGTCGCTGGCACCTTGAATTGAAACACGAACCTGGCTATGGATGGCGTCCATTCTTCTACGCAGCTCAGTTACGTATTTTTCTCCGGCAATATCAGTTCCTGGTGAACAGCCAAGGTTTAGGTCGCATGGGAAACGAAGTTCTCTTCCCATAACTACCTTAGCCAGATACCGGTCAATGGTCCTATTCATGCGCCCTACCATTCCATCTGACTGCGGGTGTAAGTCCTGGTCTTCTTAATCCACGGATTTGACAGATACTTTGGAACAGATTTGACTCGAAATTGCGCCCTTGGTCCGAATGCAACTCTAAAGGTACACCAAATCGACACATCCATTCTTTTACTAAGGCAAGGTCCTCTTAGAATCGTGTCCATCAGCCTTTCAAAGGTGGCAGGAGCATTGCACAGGCCGAATGGCATAACATTAAACTGTCATAATCCGGTGCCCACCGTGAATGCTGCCTTCTCCCGATCTTCAGGGGCCAATTCTACTTGCCAGTATCCGCTTTTTAGGTCTAAGGTGGAAAACATTTTTGATCCAGCCAGGGTATCCAGAGTGTCATCAATACGCGGTAGAGGGTAGCTGTTCTTCTTGGTCACGTTGTTTAACATTCGGTGGTCCACACAAAATCTGGTTGAACCAACTTTCTTTTTAACCAAAACTACTGGTGAGGCCCATGGACTGTTGGACGGCTCAATGATTCCCTCGTTGGCCATACTGTCTACGGTCTTGTCAGCCTCCTCTCTTTTAGCAAGTGGGAGCGTTCTTGCCATCTGCCGGGCATTTTCCGTATTGATCTTGTGCTGGACTATATTGGTTCTTCCTTTCTGTCCAGTATCGAATACATCCCGATATCTATGTATTAGATGTTTCAGTTTCTTTCTTTGGCCTGGTCTTAGATCTCTGCCTGATGATGATATCAGTTCTTCCAGTTCATTAGGAATGACCCCTGAGTTTTCCACAGCTGGTATATTTCGAATGATTGCAGAAACTGGACAGCAGTGTCCCAGCTCCGAGCCCTTCTTCAATGACACAGGGTAATGACTGACATTCATTAATCTCACAGGAATAGTTTTATCAACACGCACAAGTGCCTTTGCAACTGCTATACCTCGGCCAATAGCCTCGTCATGCATCCTAGGTTCAAACATGAATATTTCCCCGTCTGTGGTCTGGCTCTCTACCGAGCTATTGAATACATCTTCGCTTCGTTCTGGGATCACGGTGTCTTCAGGCAATAGAACTCGTACGTTTCCATTCCGTTCCCGGTATAAAATGTCCTTCTCATTGTTGACTCTCAAGATTCCTTGCTTAAAAGTTCAACTCGAAGCCCTTTGAGTCCATGATGTCCATTCCGATGATTACCTCGTCTCCAATATCAGCTACTATCGCCGGATGTTCGAATGTAGCTTTACCTATTCCAAGTGCGATGTTTACTTCACCGTACACGTTTGCCGGTCCTCCGGCAACGCTCGTAGTCGCCATTTGGTTGGTCGAATCTTCGCTGTAGCTTTCGCCATGTCGGGCCTTATGATAGTCTTTGTCGCACCTGTATCCAGCAGTACGGTGTCTAGAGTCCCATCCACAATAGCATCGAGAAAAACACTATTAGGCTGATGTTTAAGCGAGGAGACTTGGACGGTATTAACTGACGGGGCTTGTTGGCTACAGGTCGACGATAGTCCCTTCACATAGACATCCGTTAGTTTTCCGGAGTGACTAGCACCTTCAGGGCAGCGTCTCCTATCGTGCCCTATTTTGCAATATTTCCAACATTCCAGCTTGCTGTTCTGGCGGCGATGTTCCTTAACAATGCGCTTGACGGACTCTTCGAACTCGTTATCTCCTGGTACCATCTGGCGGACTCGGACCTTGCTTTTATTTGTGTCTTTAGCGGCTTCGAATTCTAAGGCCCGAGTTAGCGCTTCTACCAGCTTAGATGGATGTACTAGTAGTAAGGCTGGCCTCATTTCACCATCACGAAGTCCATCCAGGAATGCTTGGACTGCCAATCGCTCAATTATCCTTTACTGAACATCGGGATATGCTAATCGTACCAACCGCGCAATATCCGCTTCGAACTCCTGCAAGGACTCGCCTGACTTCTGGAACCGATTATTTAGTTGAGTATGGTAGATAGTATGTTCTAAATGTGACTGGCCATATCGCATCTCCAAATGTCCTACTAGTTGTTCGTAGACCTCTTGCTCTTCGGGTGATATTCTTTGAAGAATGGGAGTAGCATCTCCACGTAGCGCCAAAGTGAGTGCAGTTGCCTTTTCAGTCGATGACCAACCATTTGCATTCGCGGCTGCCTCAAACTGACGTCGGTAGAGATTTTAAGGCGCTGTGCCATCAAATTGCGGCGGTTTTATTCGCAGATGACCATCTGACCCTACAGAAGCTCCAACCTCACTTGATTTTTCCAACGGAAGTCCACGCTGTCGTTCGTCGCTCGTCTTGACGTCTAAAGCGGCAAACTTGCCTTGAACTTCTTGAATTCTGTCTTCCAAAGTTTCTAAAATCTGTTTTTCCAACTCGCAAGAGTCTTCCATAATTTTATCTTCCAATTCTTTTTTTAAATTGACAGTATTTTCCAAAAACTTTTCTAATTTGGCTGGACTTTCCAAGAGTTTTTATTCTAGGTTGGCACAATTTTCCACGAGCTTATTTTCTAACTTGGCTGAGTTTTCTAAAAGACCGGCACAATTTTCCATGAGCTTTCCTTCTAGGTTGGCACAATTTTCCGCGAGCCTTTTTTCTAACTTGGCCGAGTTTTCTAAAAGATCGGTACAATTTTTCATGAGCTTATTTTCTAACTTGGTCGAAAGGTTTTGCAGCATTAAACCAATAGCCCCTGCACCGTTAAAAATGAAAATATCCGGGTCCTCACCTTCCTAAATCAGTGCTTGACGAACCGCTGCTGTAATTCTGTTTTCTTTCCAGCCGTGTAGCACTCTCTTTCCTCCAGCTCTCTTTTTAAACACCCCACACCTGACACACATGTAGCGTTTTTCTGGGTTCTTTAGGGTGTGGATTGAAACACTGGATTCCACAAAAAGAAATGCACTAATTTATTCAACTCGATAGAACATTTATATACACCACTATTTATGTCTAACTAATTCTTATGTCGCCATTGACTACACTGTACTTCACTCCGCTCTGCTACTCTACCGTATTCGGTACTCTCTGCCCATCTCGCGGCCACCGAGTTATATATACAGTATATTCAGATAAGAGATACACCGGACATAAACAAGACCACGTGATCATCGAACGCTGTAACATTCGGCAGGGACGTATTAAGAGTCACGCAGTACATATTTTAGATAGTAGATGTTGCTTTGCGTAACTTTGTAGTAAATTAGCACAATTCGATGTGTATACGATTGGTGATGGATATAGGATCATGTGGGGGTGGGGTAAGAAATATATAATGATGTAAATATACATAAGGGTTTCAAAATTTTCGCTTCGATTTCCAGCTTCGGATGCCGTCTGATGTTTGGTGAAATACAGTCGAATATAATCTCAAAATGGCGTTTAAATTAGCCTATAATTATAACAAGGTATAACAATAACAACGACAAACTCAACAACATAATAAGATAACAAACGAAAACGTCCAAAGAAATATCAAATTGCAATGATGCACACGACATACGTAACACGTCTGAACCTGAATGTGACTCTGCCTTGATACGACTGCTCTGCCGCTCGGCATAGGCATTTAATTGCGAATTGACCAATGAGGGCTCCTGTTTTACGTCGAGACGGCGGCGTTAGCGTGAAAATCACCCGAACCTTTTGTTTACATCCGGTCTATCTCTTATCTGAATATACTGTAGTCCCAATTGCTGCTTCGAGACCGGGTGAACCACAAAGCGACATCTAGAATAATGCCGAAAGGCGGCTTGCGCGGTCGTGGTTCGCGTAAAAGCAGAGATCTGCCATTAAGTTCTGGCGAGTAGGAAACTCGCCCAACAGATCGCGCTTATTTGTCACAATATTAATAAAACTGAATGTTATTTGGAATTTCTTTAAAACTGAAATACAACGTTAGGCCAAAAAAATACATTAAAGCTGGTTTATTTGTCAATGACACAGTTTTTATTGTCTTCTGTGTCACTTACGGGGTTTTTGCAATGACTGCTTCAATTTGTTTCCAAACCTGATTTTAACGAATGTAGTCCACCATTATAATCCCGGCTTTAGCTACACATCCAGCTAACATAAATCGTGGGCGCTGTCAATATATACATATATGTAGGTTGTAACATTTAACTTC